AATTATGGGACATTCTCAAATTTTGAAATTAATATACATTGTAACAAAAAAAGGTTGACTTAGCTTATTATTTATATTATTTAATTTTTTTTTGTTTAATTTATCAATATCAAATTAAGTTAATTTAATCTTGATAAATAGATAATAGTATAATTAATAACACGATCTAAAGAAGCGGGTGAGACTCTAATTTTATATGTGACTTTATTAACACATACTTATATAAAAATTTCGTATAATTACAAATTCACGATATAAAGTTATGATTACATCATCCCTTTTGTCAACAAAATAATATTAAAAATTTCATTAGAAAGATCATGATAAATTAAATACTAACAGTTCATTTAGTGCTCTTTTCATTAATTCAAATAAGATAAGTTTTTATATATCTTAAATTTTTATTGTGTTGAATAGTGGGTTAAAATATAAATTAATTATAGATAAATTTAACAAATATTTTTTTTGCTGCATAAAAAATATTATAACGTAATAGATTAGTACAAATTACAGATTACATTTTGTCGGCAAGAATATGTACAAAATCATTGCAAGTACTTTTGATAATACCACTTGCAACACTTTTTGCAGCATAACAGTCCTTATGTTGCTATAGAGAGAACAATCTACTTTTGAAATAAAAGTCTCTATAGAAATTCTTATATATAATTTTTTATAGCATAATTATTTATTATAAGTATAATATTTTAAAATATATTTGAATTATTTAGAAAATTTTAAACATATTTTTATTTTTTATTATTTTAATTAAATTTTTGTAATTTTATTTTGAGTTAAATATAATTAACTATTGACTAATTATTAAAACGTCATTTGTTATTTTTTATCATATAATAGTGAAAAAATATGTGGTATGCTTATATAATATGATAACATAATCACGTGGTATTTTCACATCTCACATTAATATTGTGTCAATATCACGTCAATGTTGCATGAATATAAAATGAAAAATCTATAATTAATTAATTATTATTTAAAATAAAATAAAATATAAATAATTTAATCGAACATGACAAAAAAAGTTTACAATATCACAAAAAAATTTGTAAATAAATAACACAATTACTTCCTAATATTGGTGGCTAAATTAATGACAAATGAGCCAAAAAGTTGATAAAATCCTTGACAACTGGGTACATCAACATTGACTAATCACTAGTACAATTTGGGTACATCATATACAATTTTGTACCATGTACCAAATCTTTCCCAAATACTTAAACAAAGTACTGAAGATAGCACAAAAATTTAAGCTTTAAGCTAAGCCCATTCCAATGCAATTAAACTCACCCCTAGGTGGATATGCTTCATTTCCATTCTTAAGCCCCTTTATTTCTTTATTTTACAAAATAAATGTATAAATTATAATGGTTCAAACAAATTCATGTTAGAATTTCGATTTAAGTGAAGGGTTAAGGCAAGAATCTTTGATAGAAACTTTGATCAGATCGACAAAATTAATTAGTATGATTTTGACTTGGAAATTGTTCTCTTTTGATTAATAAATACAGATAATCAAACCAATGGAAATCATACATTAATCTAAGGTTTAGTTTAACTCTTTAGTGATGTAACAGATTGATCCACAGCTTAACCAAGAAAAGATTTTGGTGGTGGCAGGAACCATTTTCCATTCATTTCTCTTAATCAAATACTGGTAATTGCCCTCATCACAGGGAAAAGATTCAGATCTGCCATTCTATTTCTTTTTGCTCTCAAAGAGAGGATGATGACAATGGGAACAATGGGTATTGATGCATTTAAGCAATCTTTTTCAATTGGGATATGTATTTGTTAACTTATACAAAATTATACACTTTAAATGAGTGAGAGATTCTGTTATGTTATGATAGTATATCAGTTTGTACTAGTTAAGTAGACGATGGAAGATCATGGCCGGCCTGTTTCCGTCTGTGAAGTTGCACCTTGTTCACTACTTGTTTCTTTGACTTGGTATCTTTCGCCT